GGAGATGAGTTGTGGGTGGTAGAGTGGGAGATGAGTTGTGTGGGTGGTAGAGTGGGAGATGAGTTGTGGGTGGTAGAGTGGGAGATGAGTTGTGGGTGGGAGAGTGGGAGATGAGTTGTGGGTGGGAGAGTGGGAGATGAGTTGTGGGTGGTAGAGTGGGAGATGAGTTGTGTGGGTGGTAGAGTGGGAGATGAGTTGTGGGTGGTAGAGTGGGAGATGAGTTGTGTGGGTGGTAGAGTGGGAGATGAGTTGTGTGGGTGGGAGAGTGGGAGATGAGTTGTGGGTGGGAGAGTGGGAGATGAGTTGTGGGTGGTAGAGTGGGAGATGAGTTGTGGGTGGAAGAGTGGGAGATGAGTTGTGTGGGTGGTAGAGTGGGAGATGAGTTGTGGGTGGTAGAGTGGGAGATGAGTTGTGGGTGGTAGAGTGGGAGATGAGTTGTGTGTGTGGGAGAGTGGGAGATGAGCTGTGTGTGGTAGAGTGGGAGATGAGTTGTGGGTGGTAGAGTGGGAGATGAGTTGTGGGTGGTAGAGTGGGAGATGAGTTGTGGGTGGTAGAGTGGGAGATGAACTGTGGGTGGTAGAGTGGGAGATGAGTTGTGGGTGGTAGAGTGGGAGATGAGTTGTGGGTGGTAGAGTGGGAGATGAGTTGTGGGTGGTAGAGTGGGAGATGAGTTGTGGGTGGTAGAGTGGGAGATGAGTTGTGGGTGGTAGAGTGGGAGATGAGTTGTGGGTGGTAGAGTGGGAGATGAGCTGTGGGTGGGAGAGTGGGAGATGAGTTGTGGGTGGGAGAGTGGGAGATGAGTTGTGGGTGGGAGAGTGGGAGATGAGTTGTGGGTGGTAGAGTGGGAGATGAGCTGTGGGTGGGAGAGTGGGAGATGAGTTGTGGGTGGTAGAGTGGGAGATGAGTTGTGGGTGGTAGAGTGGGAGATGAGCTGTGGGTGGGAGAGTGGGAGATGAGTTGTGGGTGGTAGAGTGGGAGATGAGTTGTGTGGGTGGTAGAGTGGGAGATGAACTGTGGGTGGTAGAGTGGGAGATGAGTTGTGGGTGGAAGAGTGGGAGATGAGTTGTGGGTGGTAGAGTGGGAGATGAGTTGTGTGGGTGGTAGAGTGGGAGATGAGTTGTGGGTGGTAGAGTGGGAGATGAGTTGTGGGTGGTAGAGTGGGAGATGAGTTGTGGGTGGTAGAGTGGGAGGTGAGTTGTGGGTGGTAGAGTGGGAGATGAGTTGTGGGTGGTAGAGTGGGAGATGAGTTGTGTGGGTGGTAGAGCGGGAGATGAGTTGTGGGTGGTAGAGTGGGAGATGAGTTGTGGGTGGTAGAGTGGGAGATGAGTTGTGGGTGGGAGAGTGGGAGATGAGTTGTGTGGGTGGGAGAGTGGGAGCTGAGTTGTGGGTGGGAGAGTGGAAGATGAGTTGTGGGTGGGAGAGTGGGAGATGAGTTGTGTGGGTGGGAGAGTGGGAGATGAGTTGTGGGTGGTAGAGTGGGAGATGAGTTGTGGGTGGGAGAGTGGGAGATGAGTTGTGTGGGTGGGAGAGTGGGAGATGAGTTGTGGGTGGTAGAGTGGGAGATGAACTGTGGGTGGTAGAGTGGGAGATGAGTTGTGGGTGGTAGAGTGGGAGATGAGTTGTGTGGGTGGTAGAGTGGGAGATGAGTTGTGGGTGGTAGAGTGGGAGATGAGTTGTGGGTGGTAGAGTGGGAGATGAACTGTGGGTGGTAGAGTGGGAGATGAGTTGTGGGTGGTAGAGTGGGAGATGAGTTGTGTGGGTGGGAGAGTGGGAGATGAGTTGTGGGTGGTAGAGTGGGAGATGAGTTGTGGGTGGTAGAGTGGGAGATGAGTTGTGGGTGGTAAAGTGGGAGATGAGTTGTGTGGGTGGGAGAGTGGGAGATGAGTTGTGGGTGGTAGAGTGGGAGATGAGTTGTGGGTGGTAGAGTGGGAGATGAGTTGTGGGTGGTAGAGTGGGAGATGAGTTGTGTGGGTGGGAGAGTGGGAGATGAGTTGTGGGTGGTAGAGTGGGAGATGAACTGTGGGTGGTAGAGTGGGAGATGAACTGTGGGTGGTAGAGTGGGAGATGAGTTGTGTGGGTGGTAGAGTGGGAGATGAGTTGTGGGTGGTAGAGTGGGAGATGAGTTGTGGGTGGTAGAGTGGGAGATGAGTTGTGGGTGGGAGAGTGGGAGATGAGTTGTGGGTGGTAGAGTGGGAGATGAGTTGTGGGTGGTAGAGTGGGAGATGAGTTGTGTGGGTGGGAGAGTGGGAGATGAGTTGTGGGTGGTAGAGTGGGAGATGAACTGTGGGTGGTAGAGTGGGAGATGAACTGTGGGTGGTAGAGTGGGAGATGAGTTGTGTGGGTGGTAGAGTGGGAGATGAGTTGTGTGGGTGGTAGAATGGGAGATGAGTTGTGGGTGGTAGAGTGGGAGATGAGTTGTGGGTGGGAGAGTGGAAGATGAGTTGTGCGTGGTAGAGTGGGAGATGAGTTGTGGGTGGGAGAGTGGAAGATGAGTTGTGGGTGGTAGAGTGGGAGATGAGTTGTGGGTGGGAGAGTGGAAGATGAGTTGTGCGTGGTAGAGTGGGAGATGAGTTGTGGGTGGGAGAGTGGGAGATGAGTTGTGTGGGTTGTAGAGTGGGAGATGAGTTGTGGGTGGGAGAGTGGAAGATGAGTTGTGGGTGGTAGAGTGGGAGATGAGTTGTGGGTGGGAGAGTGGGAGATGAGTTGTGTGGGTGGTAGAGTGGGAGATGAGTTGTGGGTGGTAGAGTGGGAGATGAGTTGTGTGGGTGGTAGAGTGGGAGGTGAGTTGTGGGTGGGAGAGTGGGAGATGAGTTGTGGGTGGTAGAGTGGGAGATGAGTTGTGTGGGTGGTAGAGTGGGAGGTGAGTTGTGGGTGGGAGAGTGGGAGATGAGGTGTGCGTGGTAGAGTGGGAGATGGGGGGTGTGTGTGTGTGGGAGATGAGCTGTGTGTGTGGTCGATCCGGAATAGTGGGTGGTGCTGGCAATGGACGATCTTGTCGGGCACCTGCTGGCGTTGCATTCTCGCGTCATGAGTAGCCGCGGTGAATGTTGCTTTCCATGCGGCACAACGAGATGACGCCACACGGCGCAAGGCCTCTTGGCTACGTACGGTGCGAAAGAAGTTCAACGCACGTACTCCACGAACAGCACAGTGGCTGGGAAGGCGAACGCTTTCATCGCCGGTTTTATGGTTCGCAGTTTGTGTGAGCAACTCTTTGATCAGATCAATGTGGCCAGTGTTTTTTTTTTCTCGGACAAATCGACTGATGGCAACGGGACTTTGCACTAAAAATTCTTATCCCTATTGGGTGATGTTTACGCACGCACGGCAGAAGGAGAGGCGGACAGCTCTGAAAAGCTTGAACATCAATTTAACAGCATGCATCACCACTGCTGCGGTAAGCCCCCCCCCCCCCCCCCCCGTGGTATGCGTCCGTGGTGTTCACTTGTGAGGTGAGTGTAGGTGGCACGAGACATATAAGACACAGAGACGGTTGAGCCGAGAAGAGACGTCAATGTGTATAAGCCATCGGGCACACACGTGCCACGTTTTAGAAATCCTCACAAAGGCACTTGAGTCAATGACAAGTGTCTACAGCGGGAGTTACAATGCTGAACATTGGGTTTAAAGTTTTCTCTAAAAATGTAAAAAAAAACACTCCTTTCAGATACAATATATCAAACTTGGTTGTTAAACTTTACGTCGAACGCTGACTTAATGCGATAAACTGATTGCCTTTTATTCTGAATGCTACTCCTACCGACGATTGTGATCACAATTCATGATATTAAATTGCAATGATAAAATTGCAGTTATACACCGTGATACAAAACATTCCTCTACTGCTCAGGACAACCTTGTGTCGCGTGATGCACAGCATCGCTCTCGTCCGTAAGATGCGAATACCAATCCAGTTGTCAACTCTTTTCAAAATCACGGTCTCGGTACAAAAGCTAGCGGCGGACAGGCATGGGCATCAGAGAGGGCGCGTCTCATTAAATACGTCGTCATCATAATAGCACCGCGACGCGTCACTGTGTGCTGCTAGGCACGGTGTCCGACGTTTCGCTGCACGTGCTGAGACCTTCTTCAGGGACTGAATAGCAGCTCCCAGCACGTTTTGCTCCGCGTGGTGCGAAACGTCAGACACCGTGCCGAGCAGCGCGCGGTAGAACCCGACAACGCATCGGATAGGCGTACAACACGACCGATAAAACCTACGCATTTAGTAAAAGCATCAGCGTCGTAATAATACTTATAATTATGATCTGCTCAGGACTCGTAAAAATAAACATCCATTATTGTAACTTTACAAAGTCAAGCGTAAGAAAGCACGCACGCACGCGGATCTATTTAAAACATTGAATTGCTGAAAGACGACGACAACAAACAGCAACGCGTAAATCTGCGGTTACTCGTTCATTTGGCATCTTCACCTCGAGTAGAAAGGCAATGAACAGTCGACGCGTCGAGCCAAAGGTGCTGCGGGTAGGCACGGCGCCCTCACGGGGAATCCCAGCGTGCTGTCTTGCGGCAATTCTGAATACTCCTTTTGTGCTCCGTTTGGCATTTTAACCGGATACAAAACACACACACACAACTTTGCTCCAGTTTTGGTCTCTGATCATCCTCCTACGACAATCGCGCAATGAAGTTACAAACAAACCGCCCGACACTAACTAAAGGACCCGCAGAGCTCCCCTCCCCGCCTCCTCTGCCCGTGACCGCCTCTCGTCACGCAGCCGTCTCCAGCCTCGTCCGTCTACCACCCACAGACGAGACGAGTCGTCGTGGCCAAAGGCGTTGATGCCACCCAGAGCCGCCCCGTGGGGTACGGCGAATCGCGGCGATCGTCCTGGGCCCCGCGCTTTTGGGGGGTTCCGCACTTCGTCATCCCGCCGTCAGATGGTTCTACTCCCGGTTTAGTTTGAAGGCGTGGGGGGAGGGGGGGTACATGCGAGGTGAATTGCCCCGGGCCCCGTACCCCCCCCCCCCCGCCCCCCCCCCATCTATGTACGTCTCTCTCTCTATGTATCTCTGTGATATCTGTCTCTACTTATATGTCTGTCTATATGTCTCTGGTTCTGTGTTTTATCTCTCTCTCAAATTTAGCATTCTCAGGAAGAACGTAATCAACCAGGTAGGGTGTTGACTGTTATGTTATCCGAGTATTACATTACATTTCTGAGTATACTAGATTTGTGTTTCTATTTCATTTATACCTGATGACGATTGCTTGTGTTGCAATCGAAACGTCGTATGCTAGTATTTAATTGATTATTTTCTCTTTATACGTCAATTTACCGAAAGAACCAAAGAGTGACGACCCTGATGTCACCACACCTCTGCCACCCTCGGCCCGATTCCCGCAGCTGCTGCGCGGGAGACACGCAGTGCCGCGACCTCCAAGACCTGCCCTGACCGTCTCCCACCATCTACCCCGAGGTCTTCTCTCCTCCCCTTGGTCACCAGACTCGTGGAGACCGCTCCAATGCTGGGTCTTGGTCACCGGCCCTCAACCCCAAATCTGCACCCTCGTGTCCCACTGCAACGTCGTCTCAGTACCCACTCCACCCCTCACTTCCTCCCATCCAAAATAATAATAAAAAAATCGCTTTTCAAACAATCTCGATGCTTACATTCCCCCATTTGTACGGCCTCATTCATACGCTATGTAAACCCACATTGTAGTGTCTCTCAATCGGCAATAACGTGCCATTCGCCGAGTGAGCTCAGATCTGTTCTGCTCACCAAAGTGGCGTTGCTATCGAGTGCACGAGCAGTGCAGCTGCTGGCACCGGGGCCTTCGTGCCACGGAGGGGCCCAGGCCACTGATCCACCAGCTGCTGCCACCTTCACAATGACCATTCAGATCATTCCCAGAACCGCGGGGCTCGCAGATTAAGAGCCATTTCCAACGGGCGGCCTTCGAGTCAAAGGTGCTGGTGACTATCGGTTAGTGCCAGAATAAAGGGGCCACTGCAAAGCCATCAGCGTGCCAAAGCGTCTCCTTATAAACCTCACAGCAGCCTCGAAATCCCAGCACGCATCGCTGTGCCGCAGAGTGCACCGCACTTGGGCAGACGCCAGATCCTCCGACACTTGAGTGGCAAGGCACCGATTCGACGCCTGTCCTCCGGTCGACCGGCTCTCCTTAGTCGCCGGGTCTCGGTTGAAACCCCGTCAAGCCGTCGTCATCCTCACGGGATCATCACGACACCCAAAGTCACCAAACATCGCTTGGGGGCGAGTGCCAGCTACAGCCGGTGGAACCTGCGACGCACGGAAGGAAGGGGACGCACGTGAGTGAAGGATAGGCGGCGTGCTTTACACGTGTACGTTGCGGAGCCACTGCCGGCGAGGTCCCGTCGCTTTGTTCCACCTCTCGCTCACCTGGTGAGGTGGCGGCTGTGGTGGTGAACTTCCATTTCGCAGCTCTTGTAGGTGTTGAGCTCTCGACGGATGGCAGCCTACACGCGCATCGACGCGAGCACAAGCAATGAGCGGCGGTGGTCGTGGTGGCAGTGACGATGATGGTGGTGGTGGCAGTTTTTGGTGGCAGTGATAGCGACAGTTTCGGTGGTGGCGGTGACGGCGGTGGTGATGTTGGCAGTGGTAGCAGCTCCTGTGGAGTTGGTGGCAGTTTCTGTGGTGGTGGTGGTGGTGGCGATTGATTGTGACGATGATGTGGGCGGTGTTGGTCGTGGCGGTGTCTGCGGTGGCGAGTATTGGCGGTCCGCACCTTGTCGGAGGCCGTGAGCCGCGTCCAGGGCTTGTCGGAGCGCCGGTCGTAGTCCTGCACCTCGGTGACCTGCACGGCCTCGCTGAAGCGCAGCGTCCTCTCCCCGTGCAGCGAGCGCGCCGTGGCCTGCGGGGCACACGCGCCGCGTCAGGCCCTGCCGCTGCAGGCCCACTTGGGGGCTGGAAGCATGAATTGTTTTACGTGAATCGTAATTTAATCGCGTGAAAAAAAAATCATAAACACTTATGTTTTACTGATAGTAAGTGTGCTGTGGCCGAAAAAGTTCCAGGGATTCGAATCCACATCGTTTGCACGTGAAACTATGCTTCCCCGTGTCCCGTCAGCTGCAACTCCTCCATACAGTGTCCTCTCATCTACAGCTCCTCCACACAGCTACACTCAGCCTCCCCGTGTCCCCTCAGCTACAGCTCCTCCACACAGCTACACTCAGCCTCCCCGTGTCCCCTGGGCTACAGCTCCTCCACACAGCTACACTCAGCCTCCCCGTGTCCCATGGGCTACAGCTCCTCCACACAGCTACAATCAGCCTCCCCGTGTCCCCTGGGCTACAGCTCCTCCACACAGCTACACTCAGCCTCCCCGTGTCCCCTCGGCTACAGCTCCTCCACACAGCTACACTCAGCCTCCCCGTGTCCCCTCAGCTACAGCTCCTCCACACAGCTACACTCAGCCTCCCCGTGTCCCCTCAGCTACAGCTCCTCCACACAGCTACACTCAGCCTCCCCGTGTCCCCTGGGCTACAGCTCCTCCACACAGCTACACACAACCTCCCCGTGTCCCCTCAGCTACAGCTCCTCCACACAGCTACACTCAGCCTCCCCGTGTCCCCTGGGCTACAGCTCCTCCACACAGCTACACTCAGCCTCCCCGTGTCCCCTCAGCTACAGCTCCTCCACACAGCTACACTCAGCCTCCCCGTGTCCCCTGGGCTACAGCTCCTCCACACAGAAGACCCCCCCCCCATGCAACACTTTGTTGGGTGGGGGTCGTTGAGAAGATGCGTGGCTGAGGATGGGTGCTCTCCACCCACCTTCTTTGTTGCCGGCCAAGCCATCTCGGGCTTCGTCTCAACTTCACATTTCTCGATCGTCTCTGGAACAGAAGACGACCGGGCCCACGTCGTTACCACCCCGCGGGTTTCACAGCGACACTGAAACATTCGCCACGTGTTACTTACTGGACGTCTGTGTCAAAGAGCTTCGTCGCTCATCGGATTCCTCCAGTGTAAATGCATATTCTGATTTTGATCAATGAAATCTACACAGAGCCTGATTTGAGTCCGCTCTGTCGAGTTGGACGACCCGGAAAATATATCCGCACCCGGCACACCACATCCAGTATACACCTCGCTGTGGCTATTAGTCGCACGCCGGCTCTGCCAGCGACACAGCAATTTCTCAGTAAAGAAGATCCAATATAAGTGATGTTTTAGATTAAAGTTGTGATGCCGCTCACGAATTTCCCCTCTAGAAACCCAGTCAAATTGATCAGAGGATTGCCCAAAGCTCGCGATGATGAAATTGAAATGTTCATGACGATTTCCCGTCGGCCTACATACCGCCAATAAACATTTCCGAGGGTAAAAAAACGCGTGTGGTAAAAGCGTTCCAAGAATCCATGCGGAAGCATGGTTTTTCTTCCTGGTTTAAAATCCAACTCGCCGTTGTTGTTGTTAATGATGATCTGTGTGTGTGTGTTCCTGTGAGGCAGCGAGATATACTCGGTGTTTTGATTTTGGAACTTTTATAGTTTTGTAGACCATGCCAACATTCAGATAGCGTTCGTATTCAGTAAATGTTATTAAAATCGTTACTGTAGGCTAACGGAATGCAGTAAATACTCTGACAAAAATATAGCCAGCCAGCCAAACATAAAACGAGTTCGACAGCAAAATCATTATATATTCAGGCTGACAACCAAACAGTTAGACAGCCAGACAGACAGACTCCCAAACCAGACACTCGGAGACATAGGCAAGCAGGCAGACAGCCACTCAGCTAGACAGAAAGTGCCACAGCCAGCCAGACAGACAACCAGTGAGACGGAGGGACAACCGGCCAGGCGGCCAGCAATCCAGACTGCCCGCAAGTGAGAAGGAGAGACTCACGGGCGAGGGAGACATTGCTGATCTCGGGGTGAACAGGGCTCGATCCGCGGCGACGTCCAAACAGCACGAAGAAACGCGGCTGCACCATGGCTGGGAGTCGAACCCCTTTAACGTCCAGGCACCGAGGAACCCGGCACGGCAGCGGCACCAGTCGCCAGGTGAAGCAGCCGCATCCGACGCCCTAACGCGCAGTTCCCTCCACGCCACAAGCAGGTGCAGCAGGAGCTACGCGGCTGTTGCTGCTGCTGCTACTGCAGGAGTGCAGAGGCAAGCGCTCCGTGTTTACTGTGGCCGCTTGGAGTCGTGACTGCCGCTCCGCTCCATGATATTCTAAAATTGTCTTGCGATGTTGACACAAATAAAAACAAATATGGGAGGGGGGGGTTAAACACAAAAAATGTTCTCGCGGTAGAAATTGATGCGTGGAGGAGTCGGGTTTCTCCAATGTCAATATAACCTCGCGCTCGCGTTTCGTTTCGTGTTGGGAAAGCTGCTGCCAATCAACGGCACCAAAATGTTAATAATCCGAGCACTTGCTGCAGATATTGCAGATGTTGTTGTTTTTTCTCCCACAGTCCACGCCGTCGGCTCAGTTTTCCGACTCATCTGGCTCCCAGATGAGACTCCCCCTGCAAGCCTCGAGTCTGGCACGCAGATTATACCGCCCCCTGCTTAAACGCACATATTTTCGAACCGCAAACAATGAAATCAAACAATTTGGGAATTCCGCCGAAGCCTTGGATGTTTTTCTCTCTCTTAAAGATGCGCAAATTTTGCGAGTGGCAGGTCGTGATCTGCAAGTGGTACGCGAGCAGAACGTCTCCCGTTCCAGCCGTGACGTCTTCACAGTCGTAGCAGGCTACTTTGCAGCAGCAGCAGCAGTGCACTTGGCCAAAGCACTGCGGTCGAAAATCCCACGTTTTCGGCTGAATAAAAATAAATGCATACGAGCGAAGGACAACAACAACAGCAACAGCAGAAAAAGCAAAACAACAACACCAACGCTGATAACAGCCAGAGGCGGGCTAAGATCGCGGCGCTAATGAACGCGCGCACGGCAATTAAGAGCGGAGTCGAGGTTGTCACGAGTCTGCGAGTCACGACTGGCCAGTAAGAGCCGTAATGGAGGAAGGGTTGTATGGAGAGGGGAGGGGTGGTGGGGGGTGGTGGTGGGGGGGTATTATATATTTACTCGTGTTAACACCTTCCCGGCGCTGCTGAGCTGGTGACCCGAACGCGAACGCTGTGGGACACCGACCCAGTGGCGCTTACAGGAGGCAGAGGGCGCAGCACCTGCAATTTCTCGCTCACGCCGCTGCTGGCGGAAGGCGCCTCCACTAGAGGGCGCACGAGAGAGCCCCTCGAGTGGGAAGTTATTTTGGCGGCCCGCGCCTTCACGCTGGCCAGAGGCCTCGCAAGAAGAGTGCGTCACCCAACGCTTCATCTCACCGCACGCGACCTGCCCCACACAGGCTGGCGTACTGTGGTCAACCCATTTACATTGAGAGGTGGACGGTGGTGGGGGCGGTGGGGGTGGAGGAGGGGGAGATTTAAGAAAATCCCACTGGTGTTTAACTGCCAAGCCGGGAAATAGAATTGAAACAGCGGTACAAGTCCAGAGCGCGGACCATTACCCCATGGCAGCATTGCCTCCAGGTGAGTAACAATGCAAATTGTTTACCTGTCCATGGAAAGTCTCATTGAGTCTCAAGACTCTAATCTTGATTTGAAGCTTTCGTGACTGCAGGAATCCATACTCTTTGGTTCTTTCGGTAAAGTCACGTAGGTAGAAAAATAGCAATAATAAAGTGAATACAAATAAAATAATACAAATAAAATTAAAATAAAAACCACGACGTTTCGATCGCAACACAAGCTGTCGTCACTTTATTATTATGTTTCTATCTACGTGACTTTACCGAAAGAACCAAAGAATACGTGTGAACATATCACACAGCAGCCATGCTCAACCGTGACAGGTACAACATCGCCCGCCTGCAGGAAGAACTATCTTCATAGTGAGGCCTTCCCAGGTACGTGTACAGCTCTCTGTCAATCCACAACTGGATGAGCCTCCCCCCCACCCACCGTGTCAATCATGGGAGTTAATTGCCCATACTTCACCACGCTGGTCAGTGCAGGTGAGGTTGGTGAAGGAGGGTGAACAGGTTAGGGGTGGCTCATACATAATGTTTTGCCACTGATGTTAGCCACAGCCAGGAATCTATCTCAGGTAACAACAGTGTCCCAACGCTCTCCGCCTTTGAGTTAAATAATCGCGATTAGCCAGGATCAATCCACTGCTGGATTAAAACCAATCCAAGATGACTCCATCCACCACAGCCCCCGCGATGCACGAGTCTGCACATTGTAACATGTGACGCGGAATATGAGGATCGTTTTTTTTTTTTAAAAGAGACTTTTGTAGGCAATGCCCCATTATCAATTACAAAAAACGAGCTCCTGCCATTTACAGCCGCACGTTGTTATGCAGTCAAGTATTCCCAGTGGCATTTGGACGCACGAGGTTACACACCAGGCATGGTTTCGATATTGAATCTCATCAGCACGATGTGGCCCCTTAACCCACTGTCAATTAAGGTCCGGCGATGTCGGGGCAGCTAAAGATGCCCCCATGATGAATGGGTCCACAGCCAAACATCCCGATAGAGGGGCGCTCCTGAACGAGAGTCTTGAGACTCGGTCAGGAAAAATGACCTCGCTCCAGCAGGCACACGTCATGTGCTGCAGGGTTCAGCACATTGCATAGAGATGCATTTGTGCTATCTTAGTCATTTACATTAAACACTTCATAATACACATTATTATTTCTAGATTTGAAGCTTTCGTGACTGCAAGGATTCATATTCTTAGGTTTTTTCGGTAAAGTCACGTAGGTAAAAAAATTAAATTTAAATTAATAAAAGTAAAATAAAAATAAAATAATAAATCACGACGTTTCGGAGGCAACACAAGCTTCCGTCTTCAGGTGGAACCGTCACAGCACGATAGCTGTATCATGTTTTTTAAATTTTATTTTTATTAATTTTTATTAAATTTTTTTACCTACGTGACTTTACCGAAAAAACCTAAGAATACACATTATTCTTATTATTTCATTCTGAATAAAGTCAACAACAGCGGTGGTCCAAACGCGCTCTCCACAGCCTGGAACTCCCCTCCCCCAGCATCCCGTGCTGTGGGCTCCCTGCCACTGTTCGAGTCCAGACTCAAGACCTTTCAACTTCTCCCCTCAACCATGGCTGGCTGCCTCTCTCCATCCCTGTCTCTCTCTGTGTGAAATCCTGTTGCTCAGAGTTTCCGTGCCTCGTCTTGAGATGCGGCCGCTATGCCACTCCACAGTTTGTTGTCGCACTGCAAGCCTCGCTTCAATCACATTCGGCACACAGTCCACACGCTGTTAAGCCTTCAAGATCAGCTGAAATTATAATTTGACCATTTTGTGTGTTGCGTACAAGTAAATTCAGGGTTCATAATTTGCATTGTAAGTTAAAAAAAAGTTACGCACTCTAATTACGGTAATAATTTCTTTACCTAGGAAAACTCACGTTCCGCTTCGGGAGGGTTCTGCATTGAAACGTTTGGCCACCACCAGTTACATTGTGTATGTGTTCAGCTATGAGAGGAAACTGGAGACGCCGGAGGAAAGCCACGCAGAACAGGGGAAGATCACACAACCTCCACTTAGAAAGGCGCCCGGTTTGGGAATGTAACCCGAGTGCTTCTTGCTATGAGGAATGAGTGTCACCACGACGCAACCCCTGGCGGAATAAAAAACAAAAGATGCCGGTGATGGAGGTGAACACCCGAAGGAGCTAGGAGAAGAGGAAGGCCAAAATCTACCCGGACATCAAACACCGGACGGGATGGAAGACGTCTCAGCTGAGAGACGGAGTGACGGACAGAGCGGAGGAGAGGCGCTGCAAAGGGCCGCGAGGATGAATATACATTCAGTTTCATTTATTTCAGTTTCATTTATTAGGTATAGCCCTGTGAGCCATTCGGCTCTTGAATCGGGTGCAACCGCAACAAAAACAAAAACACAAACAAGAAAACATCTTAAAGTGACTATGCGCAAACAGAAAAACCCAGGAAAAAACAGCAAAATCTTCCTGAAAAAGCACCGTACACCAACGCTGTGTGCAAAAATCCCAGTGAGATGCAAGTCAAACAACATCGGCGAAGGGACGAGAAGGCCTCTCCGCTTGCCTCGCCATCGAATGTCCATCGCTTGGACGGGCGGGCGTCCAGGCCGGGAAGGGGTTAAGCGGTTTGGGATCCTGAGCAGCGGCAGCGCCCGGCACGACTCACGGGACCGCGGGGAGGGGCAGCGAGACGGTGGGAGCCCCGCTGATGGCATCGCTGACAGCAGCATACTGATAGACACACACAGCAGCATACTGATAGACAGACAGCAGCATACTGATAGACACAGTCAGCAGCATACTGATAGTCACACACAGCAGCATACTGATAGTCACACACAGCAGCATACTGATAGACACACACAGCAGTATACTGATAGACACAGACAGCAGCATACTGATAGTCACAGACTGCAGCATACTGATAGACACAGACAGCAGCATACTGATAGACACACACAGCAGCATACTGATAGTCACAGACAGCAGCATACTGATAGACACAGACAGCAGCATACTGATAGTCACAGACAGCAGCATACTGATAGACACAGACAGCAGCATACTGATAGACACACACAGCAGCATACTGATAGACACACACAGCAGCATACTGATAGACACACACAGCAGCATACTGATAGACACACACAGCAGCATACTGATAGACACACACAGCAGCATACTGATAGACACACACAGCAGCATACTGATAGACAGACAGCAGCATACTGATAGACACACACAGCAGCATACTGATAGACAGACAGCAGCATACTGATAGACAGACAGCAGCATACTGATAGACAGACAGCAGCATACTGATAGACACACACAGCAGCATATTGATAGATAGACAGCAGCATACTGATAGACACACACAGCAGCATACTGATAGACACACACAGCAGCATACTGATAGACACACACAGCAGCATACTGATAGACACAGACAGCAGCATACTGATAGACACAGACAGCAGCATACTGATAGTCACAGACAGCAGCATACTGATAGACACAGACTGCAGCATACTGATAGACACAGACAGCAGCATACTGATAGACACACACAGCAGCATACTGATAGTCACAGACAGCAGCATACTGATAGACACAGACAGCAGCATACTGATAGACACAGACAGCAGCATACTGATAGACACACACAGCAGCATACTGATAGACACACACAGCAGCATACTGATAGAGACAGACAGCAGCATACTGATAGACACACGCAGCAGCATACTGATAGACACACACAGCAGCATACTGATAGACACAGACAGCAGCATACTGATAGACACACACAGCAGCATACTGATAGACACAGACAGCAGCATACTGATAGTCACACACAGCAGCATACTGAAAGACACAGTCAGCAGCATACTGATAGAGACACACAGCAGCATACTGATAGACACAGACAGCAGCATACTGATAGACACACACAGTAGCATACTGATAGACACAGACAGCAGCATACTGATAGACACACACAGCAGCATACTGATAGACACAGTCAGCAGCATACTGATAGACACAGTCAGCAGCATACTGATAGACACACACAGCAGCATACTGATAGACACACACAGCAGCATACTGATAGACACACACAGCAGCATACTGATAGACACAGACAGCAGCATACTGATAGACACACACAGCAGCATACTGATAGACACAGTCAGCAGCATACTGATAAACACAGTCAGCAGCATACTGATAGACACACACAGCAGCATACTGATAAACACAGTCAGCAGCATACTGATAGACACACACAGCAGCATACTGATAGACACAC